TGGCACCATCACGCACGCACAAACGGGCACTGGCCGCGCGTGTGGCTGGAACTGCCACACGGTTGGCCATCCGGCTTACGGCCGTCGCACACGTGGCGCTTGTGGTCAGGGCAATCTTTCTCACGTGGAGTGCAACCACGCTGGTCATTGTGCCGTTTGCACACCTGCTGCCCGCCCTGCAAAATGCTCACGGTGCGCTCCTTGCGCGCGCGCTTCGGGCCTGTGTGACTTGTTTCAGGCTCAGGTTGCAGGAGCTCCGGCGGCACGTTCACGGCGGCGGCTTGCTGAATTGTCCACACCACCTCGCATTCCCGGAGGGGCGCATGAGCTCAACCATCTTTCCCCTTGTCTGCAAGTCACGGCTTTCCAGCCAGCGCACTTGATCATTGGCGCTCAAGGTTGACTCTGCGATGCGGGCTAAGGCAAAATCTGCATAGTTCAGGTTCACCTCAAGCGGGGCGTAACGCACCTGCTCTCGCGGTTTCTCTACGCTAGCCACCATGTGGATACCTGCCAACGAATAGGCGTTGGCTAAGACCCTGAGGGCTTGGTAGTACTGAATGACAGATCGCACTGGCGCAGGTTCTGCAGACAACTGTACTTTGATGGATGTGCTGAGGCTAACTTCTTCGCGATTAAGCGGAAGGGTGCCACGGAACAGACTCTGGATCTTCTTGGCCGGAATGATGGTAGGAACACCACGCTGGATTTCTCGGTAGATACGGCCAAGCAAGGCATCAGATGGGAGCATGTGAATGGACAGCTTAAGGCCATATAACGCGTGCCACTGCGTCATGAGGGTCTCCTGGGTAGCAGGGTCCAAGGGCTCGTCACCGTCCTCAACAACGCCATCTACCTTCCTTTTGCGTTGTCGCTCAAGCAACAGACTCCCTTCCCGCCAAGCAGCTCTCAAGCGAGAAAGTTGCAAGACATCGCCTTTAGCTGGCGATGGCTCCAGCACTACGTCCTTCAGTTCTGTCTCATAGGTGGCAGCAGCAACCACTCCGACAAAATCAGAAACTGACGTCAAGCCCATGTTTAACAGAAACTTGGTCAGCTCATCACTAAGACGGGCAGTTGCAAAAATCTGCTTGAGGGACTCCAAGTCCCGCTGGGCGTGAGGCCCAGATATTGGCGGTGGCATGGCTACGACTATTTTCGGAGCCAGACCTTGCACCGACTACACAGCTCAAAATCCAAGCTTGCCCTTCCGGTGGGCAAACGAGATCTTTGATGATCATCCCTGGAAAAAGTAAAGCGGTGTTGGAACGGCTGCTCTTGCTTTCCTTTTCTTTTTTTTGGGGGGGGTTTCCGGTGCCCAAATGGCGAAAGCGAGGGAATCCAACAGGGCAGGGAAAAAGCCGCAACCCCGGAAATTCCAAGCTCGCAACAAGTACCCTTGCAACCGCAATTGAAAGCCAAGAATTCGAAATTTGAGGAGTGTAATGGACCAGGGGAAAACCAACAACCCCCGACATTCCACAGCAAGCGAAAGGAATGCGCGCCTGCTTGCGACATACAAGAGAGCAGGGAAATCCAACAGGGCAGGGCAAGAACCCACAACCCCGGAAATCTCCAAGCAACTGAGAAGAAGGTTGCTGCAACAATTTGTGTTGTTTCTCCTGGTTTAAATATATATGTATATATACAAATATAAATATCCAAGAGAGGAAAATGCCAGGAATCCAACAGGGCCAGCCAAAAAAGACACTAGCCCTGGAAATTCCGAGCAACTCCATGTCAGCAACTATGAAAGTTGACGGCCGCGCAAAGCCTGTGGTAAAAACCGAGACAAGCACCAAACGAGGGAATCCAACGGGGCCGAAAAAGAACCAAACCCCGGAAATTCCCGGAAGTTCAGAAACTCAACGCAACCGCGTAACAGACTCATTTTTAGCACCAGTCTTTTACAAGTGAGTAATGTCAAGTGGCGCTGCTAGCGCGCAGCGTAGGCTTGACGCATTCACAGGGCATGTGACCGAATTCAACGCTAAGCACTCTAAGGAGTGTCCTGGGCACGCAAAGAAGCTTTGATTGCACGGAAAAGTGCTCTAGGCGCCGCTTGAATGCACTTGGCACACACGTTCATGCTTGGGCCAAGACCTGCTCCACGAGAGCACGGTTGAGACGCGAAAGGCTCCGTTCGACACAAGGGCGTAAGCAAGACGGCTGAAGGCCTCTGCACATGCACCACTCCTCTGGTGAGCTGGAACCAAGAAACGCTCTCTATGGGAACATCTGACTCTGAACTGGAAGAAGAAGAGGAAGAAGACACTGACTCGGAAGCAGATGCTTTGGCCGCATCCGGAACAGAGAGCTCGCCGGAAACAACTCTAGCCCACGTGAGGTGAGCTGCCCTTAAATTATCAAAGGGGACTGAAATGTCCTTAGAGTTCTTCAGCACAGCCCAAACAGCCCCTAACAGCTTGGCCTTGGAATCAGCAGCACTGCGAACTTTCTCGTTGGCATAATGCTGCGACATGCACAAAGAACGTGACGGCACATGTTCGAGCTGCACCGTCTCTACCCAGTTGCCAAGATGCTGCGCTACTTCCGGAGGACAGCGCACAATTTCGGCAACGGTGGGCGAGAAGCGGCGCAAGGAGTAAGAGGACACCGTGCTTGCACTACTAAGCCCTGGCAGCCGATGTACCAACAGCTTCCTTAAAAGACTCACAAACCTTGACAAGGGCATAGCTCTGGGCACCCAAGTAGCATCAGACTGGATTTGCATAGAAGGGCCAAGAAGCAAATCCGGCACTACAAAGCTGGTCTTATCGCAACGGGCGGCAACATCATTCACAACGCGCAAAGCGTGCAAGAAAACTGACTCAAACCCAAAGAAACCAGCAGGGCATCCCCATCGAACGGGGGCCGTGTGTGCTGTCGTCGGGACTTCCCTTTTTTACAAAGGCCAAGCAAGAATGGGCCATCAACCCGCAACTGGCAAGATCGTTGGAGGTGGGCGAATCGCAAACATGCTGCCAAAGGCATAAGGACAAATCCAGCAAAAGCTGCTTCAGTTGGTGGCCCGCAGGCCGCCAAACTGGCTAGCACTTTTACTGCACACAACGCCAACGGTTCCTTCGGAGCTGCCTGGTGGCCCTCCGCTGGCCGGTTCCACACTTGCAGCAAGGGGTCGTGCAATGGGAACGGCACACCCACGTGTGTACGCCACCACAACAGTTGCTGGAACAAGTGATGAGACACAGTTGGGCCTCTAGAAGCCTGGGTTTGCAAGAAAGCGAAGACAGCCTCAATTGACGGAAACAACGGAGATTTGTCTGCTGCTTCATGCGATGCCACAAAGCGACGCCAACGGCGCCAAGCTGAAACATGACCCTGCAAAGAGGATGCTTCAAAGGCGCCTAGGCGCATTTGCAAGGCATCTTTGGCTTGCTCAGGCTGGTTAATGAGCAGAGGCGAAAAGAGAAGCCCGCGTGCTCCCAACTCAGAGTACACTTTCCACATAATCTCAAACGGTTCCGTGGCGACTATTGGGCCAGCGTCACTCGGTCGCCGCCACAGCACTTGAGACAAACTACCAGAACTTGCTACTGGCTTCAGTTGCGGTGTTGTGTGAGGGACAGGTTGACAGCTCAACTGGTGAAGTGGCTTGCCTAGATGCCGCCGAAAGACTGAGTCAGCAACCCGGATAAGCTCCACCGCATCTTCTTCCAACAATATACCACCGAAAAAATCAACCAGCTCACACGGCCTCAAGTTAGCCAAGTCTGATTCGCAAGCAATGCCCCTGCGGCGCAAAAGGTGCACAAGACCTGGGTGGACACTTGCCAGAAAGGCTTCGGAAAAGCTAGGCTCCGGTGCCCGCGCAAGAATTGGCGCAACGCTTACCGAGGGCCTTGCCGAGTAAGGCGACTGACGGCTTCCATGGCATGGTCGCATACAACACCTCTGCGTGCGAATGGGCGCACACAGGAAATACCAAAATGGCTAGGCAGCCCAAATCGAGACAAAAAAAGTCTTCGATCGATGGCTGCCTTGAACCGCGCAGCCATCAATGTTCACGCTTCAAAGACACAGCCTGCCAATCCCAGCCAGGCCAAGCTGATTCCAATGGAGATCGCTCTCTCACGGGCGAGGACCGTAAAACCCGAAGGGTCCCTCATTAAGATTCATAGTCCGTGCATGAAGCCATACTTGAACCGCAGGTACTGTGGGTGGACAAAATCCTGCACCACTTTTGAAACCACGAGAAACCATTGTTTGTTCGTATTTGCAGGGGAATCATCATTCCAGGGTTTCTTAGCTGGTGCCATCCACATTATGAACACCTATCTTATGGGTTCATTCGTCATTGATGATGTCATTTGGGGAAACCAGCCACCAGGAAATACCACAATGCTGATGGGCTCATACTCGGAGCCAAGATTGGGACTGAGGTGGCAGTGCGTCATCCCTTTTGCAGTGCTGCGATTTCTGACTCCTTGTTACTCTAGGGGGTGATTCCCCATTCTTTTCAACCATCGTTCTTTTCAAGAACCGGCCATTTTCCCTGGATGTCCGGAGGTTCCCTAGAAAGAACGATCCCTGGAAAGAATGGGCAAGGTTCCCAGTCCTAAGAAGAACCGTTGGCCGGCGCCGGTTCTTCAACAGATGCCCGCCTCCGGGAAACTTGTGCCATGTGCCCCCTCCATTGCTCCAACAAAGGTAAGACAGGGGATCGTGTCCCTTGATTCGGGCACCCTCCGCCCCTTGCATAATGTCAGGGGCAAAACACCTGCAGACATGATTGTCTTATGCTCATAGCTGATTGTCTAGGCCCAAGTAAGTTAAGGGCGTTCAACCAACTTCGTAGGCAGGTTATAACCACGTTCATCAGGGGATTAACTCCAGTTTCCCCACTCCAAACTATACCGTGCCCTGCTTAAGTAAGTGTGGGTTGAACATCCAAGTGGTCCATGAACAAGGCAACATGGCGGGTCAAAAAGAAGCTTGGGGTGGCGAAAGCGAGGTCCCTTCAACTGGCCAAGTCCTGCCTCCAGCAGCCACCGTCCGGCTCCCACACCTTGGGAGCTGAAACGTCCGCAAGGGAACAACCAAGTCCTCTGCAAACTCAAAACTGGCATGCGTTGCCATGAGGGTGCCAAGCTGCCATTTTGGTACATGTTTTTGACCCACAGCCATGTCTTGCTTTTTGGAGGGACCCTTTTGTGGACATCAATTACGTGGGGGTTGAAGCCAGGAACTCCAGTGTGTTGCATCCAAAACCTGGGCCCTGAACCCATCCTGGCGGTCGGAACGGTTCCTTCTCTTACCCAGTGGATCCAAACCCTGGCAGCCCGAGGATCCTATGCAGCACCCGAACCGCTGAGTGGAGATAGAACACATGCCGCAGCTGCAGAATCAAGATGCTGCATGTGCACTTCCTTTCTTCAGACGAAAACAAGTTGACATGTCTTGCTGCAATTGTCTGAACACGAACAAGAGGCTTTCCACTTACGGGATCCCCATGGACGACTTTTGGTCAAAGGCAATCCACAAAGAAAGACCCATAGGGTCTTAGGAACTTTCCCAAGTGATTCCCTGAATGTGGGCAAACAACAGAACCAAGTCCAGGGGGAAACCCAGAAGTTTCAACTCCAGGGAGTGGAATCAATTCGAAGAACTCCGAACATCAGGTCTGCCAGGGGAAAAATGTGCACCCTGCTATTGGTTGACTTCGATTTGGGCACCCTCCTGAAGAAGGAAACGAGGGCACCGCAGGTCTGGGTGTTGCCATCGCTGGGGTTCCTAGATGTTGCAAAAAAAATCATCATCCCTACCGAGGAAGACTCACTCTTATGTGGGCTCAACAGGTGATGTATACACCCACCAAACTAGGTCCTCCATCGGCCCCCCTGACTTCAGGACGATCCCTCCGCGCTCCGCCGCGTGAGGGCCACGCCGGATCTTCTGTGAGGATCCGGGACAGGGATTGCCGCCAGGGGAAGTCGAACCTCGGAACCGCCCGCAGCTTTTCTCACCGGGTCAATCGTGTACGTGCCAGCCAGTCTCTTCAGTAACCCTGGCCCACCTTTTGGGTGTGGGTCAAAATTAAACCAGGAATTGGACAGGTTTTAGTCATTGCTTCCATTTACCAGGGTGCCATTTTGGGGTAACCAACCATTTTTGACCCACAGCCATTTCTAAAACTTGAAGGCCAGCAACCAAATGGAAATGGGTGCCACCGAGCAACCGTGAAGGGCTGGCAGGGATGGTGCTGGCAGGTGGACGCCCCGAGTGCGAAGCAATCTCTGAATGGCTTAAACATCACCAGAGGCGTACGAAAGCGCGTTTCTGGCCGGCGCTAGCCGTCGCATACACAAAGATAACTCAATACTCACAAAGAGAGAGAGAGAGAGGGAGAAAAAGAGAGAGGGAGTCTGGAGTTTGTTCGTCATGGTGCTCCAATTTTCGCTGCATGTAAACCAACTACCCAAGTTCACCCCAACATCCGAATTGTCGTTCAACATGGTTCATGACCATCACTATCAACCTCAAGGCCAAGCGCTCCGCTATCGTGGCTGGTGCAAAGGGAGACCAAAGCAAAACAGTGAAACCTACCCATGTGAGCGTGTAAAGGGAGACCAAAGTGAACCCCATGTTGGCGCCCAATGGTTTCAGATGTCCGAATTTCGCAAATTCGCCAACCACACTGCAGACTCTACCCAATCCGGGTCCCAAAGGATTAGGCCAGTTCCTTGCGATCGCTGCTCAGGGAAGGAGGGAATGAACCTGCACAGATTCTCCCAGAAAGGAAACCACCAAGATGGTTCACAAATGCTGCATCTCTCGCACCCATCGCAAGAGGGAATGAACCTGCGAACATTTTCCCGAATAAAGGAAAGCGCACCAGTTGGACTTTGTTTCAATTGGGTCATTCCATAACTCTCATTCCCTACGTCTCTCGCACTGATCGATCAAGCAAATATGGGTATAAGAAATGTCATGTTTAGGTGCTCCTTTCGATTATGCTTTGCACTATCCTTAACGAACACCAACACATCCTTTGCAGGATCCCCACACCAAGCAAAGCTTCTTTGGACTATCCTTAACCGTTTCCTTTGCTTGCAATCCTTCCTAGGTCTTTCAGTAGAGAGGCTCGAATAAGGGTACCCTTTTTCCTCAACAGATGAAAGCTTTGGGGTCTCAGCCCAGATAGGCTTCGGGGTGGTCCGGGGCGGCCCTGAGGTAAGATTCCACAAGGGTTCCACGAGGGTTCCACAAGGGTTTTAGCAGGGTTCCACGAGGTTCTGCGAGGGCTGCGGGGTGGTGCCAGCACATGCTGGAGGGGATAGCTTATTTCTGCAGTCTATTTTAGTATATAGGGGAACCCTCCCCCCAACAAGAAACAGTGAGAAAGGGCACCAATTGCTTTTTGGCACCTTAACACAAAATCCCCAAACCGAAAGAAACATCTCCAAACTGAAGGACCAACTGAACTGCTGGACTGTTCGTTTACCCCTGGAACTGGTGAGCCTAGCCTCTTGCTTCGCTCTGGGCGTCCCCTGCTCTGTGACGGAGAAGGCCACCTCAGCGCCTGCCTCCCAGTCCAGAGGCCTTGCTGGGATCGGGATCTTCCCCTCCTTCCCCGTCGGCTTTTTGGACGAGGACCCCCCAAAATGGTGGTCTTCCTTGGGAGCTTCCCCTTAAAAAGGCACCCCCGGAAAAAAGGCGCCCCTTCTAGCCACGGAAAAAGGTGCCCCTTGAAATGGTGGGTGTGAATGGTGAGCTTGCTGTTGGCTTCTCTTTAAACTCACAACAACAACAAAACGAGACGTTGCCTAAGAAAAGGACAGACCCATTTGGCCAAAACTGGCACCTAATTTAGGGAGGGGGTGTCCGGACGTTTTGTCCAAGTCCAAATTCCTGTTCGCTCCCTTTGGGGAAATTCGGCCGGGCCAAGAATCTAAAGAACCTGACAGCTCAGCAAAAAGCAAACAAACGGCTGGCACCAGGCTTTGTTTGGATCTTGGTTCTCTTCTGCCCGAAGCTCCTGCCAGGAATAGTTCCACCTTTTAAAGCCATGAACTCATTGGTTGATCATTCTTTTATATGGGGACCCGTTGGTGCACGTCATGCAGCTGGGGTTCAAACAAACAATCAACCACTTTTGAGGTGGTTCCTTATGGGATGCACAAAGCATTTAGGTTTTCCATAGCCATTGCCATTTCCCAAGTGAACCTCTGCAGAATGATCGGTCTCCCCGACACAAGATGTTTCCCGCAACCGAGAGGGTCCGGTTTATTGACAAGGTGAGCGGGACAGCTGAGTTAAAGTCTACCTCAGGTTGATCAAGACGGAACCCTAACCGGAAGTTTCCAGCAGAGGGCTCTCTGAATACGAAGGTTGACACGTGATACCGACCTCCATAGAATGAATAATTACCCGCAAATGCACTTGGAACACCAAAAATGCGATATTCCAACAGGAGAGTCCGCTGCTCAACATGTTAAGCAGTAGAGGGGCAGTCATTGGAACGGAAAGCCTTCCAGGTTGCATCAATGTACTATGGGTGCATGAGACTAACATTGACCATGCAATCACATAATTACCACAAGAGTGTTTTGGTGGCATTTCCATGAGAGTGCTATTCTGTCCCTTTGAAGCTTCACCCCGCCAAAAGGGAACTCAGTGTGTTCCAAGACATGTTCCTCCCCTCCCCCCGCTGCAGCTACGAAGGCTTTTAGGGTTGAACGTGAAAAAACACAAACAAAAACTTGGCTGGGTTTGAAGCCACCCAAAACAGGAACCCTTTTGACTGCAGCCTCCGGTCGAAAGTGTCTGTAAACAAAAACAACACATAACTTGGCTAGGTTTGCACCCACCCGAACCCGGAACTGTCTTGACCGCGCAGCCCTTGAGCCCTGGCCCTGTGGTGTTCAGCAAGCAGGCGGATTCCGCGTTGGCCCCGATGGTGGACTCCACCCGGAGCCTTGGCAGTAGCGCACCTCACTCTCTTAAGATACTCTTGCGCATCCATATGGTCCTGTATGGTCTTTTCTGAAATCAAAAGGTTGGTGGTCAACCCAAACACTGGCCCCATGGATTATATAATCGTCAAGCTCCCAAGGCTTCTTCGGCTCTCAAGTGGTCCCTAAAAACGACGGCACCCACGTACCAAACCGTTCGATAGGTGTTCCGGGAGTCGTGACGTGCACGGGCGACGGACAAGAAGTCCCAGGCTCAGAGGCGCGGACTGCCCAAGTGAGCCAGGCGTCAAATACATGGCGTCATTACACATGTGGATATGAATTTTAATGGACCCTTTGGCACATTGGACATGGCGATGTTTGCAATTGCCCATCATTGTTTAGGGCATACAAAAGACATGGCCAAATGGATGTGGCTGGTTGCCCCAGTTGGAGTTTGCCGAAGAGGTGCATCAAACCGGCACCCTCCAACTGCTTTGTCCCATGTCCAAAACTCCAAGTGCGGTGCAAGGAAACCACCCCTGAACCACTAACCTCAGTTTTGTTTGCCAAAAGGTGGTTTTACAACCCTTGGTATAGCAGCAAAACACGCTGCTTTTGCAGCCCCCACTCACAATGAACCAAAAACCCAAACACGAAAAACACCCCTAAAAACCATTCCAACAGCAGTGAAGGGTGTTTTCCCCGTGTTCCGCTTTGGTTTGGCGGTATCTTCGGGGATTCCCCCAGAAACCTCCAGCGAAATCCAGCCCCGGCCGCTCCCCGCTCGCGGCTTGGGGCGAAGGCCAGGTCTCGGCAATGGGCGCGCCAAAGGTCTTCACCTTAGAGCAAAAATCAACGGCGCGCGCCCCGAACACGGAGGGGCTCAAAAAGAAGACGTGGGGCTCTGGGGCATCTTACCAAGCTTAGGTCTGATTATAGGAGTATACTAGTAGTGACTTTTTAGGGGGGCTCTGTTTTGTATCTTCACTACGTAGGGGTTGTCACCAGTGCCTGAACCCGTGTCAGGTTGGCACTTGCACCTATCAATGTGGGGTAACTTGAAACCAAGCTTAGTTCTCAGTGTAGGAGTATACTAGCAGTAGTTGTTTAGCTCCTATGTCCGGCAAATATTTACCCCTTGAAGCAAAATCAATGCCCTCGTTCGCCGGCAAGCTGGCAATTGCGAACTAAATCGAAATGCTGTCCCTCAACGTGGTGGCATTTTGAGGGGTTCTCAACATGACGTTTGATATGCTAATAGCCTTATAATTAACATATGATGCTTTATTTATGTTTTCCAAAAAATAAGACACCAATGTTTCTTGTTTTCCATTATATGAACACATCATTAGGTGTGGGCTTTTCTAAAAGCCAAGTGCCATTCTTCTGGACGCAGCTTTCCCGAAACCGGGTCCCCTGCCAATCCCGGCACGGCAATCACCTGGCTGTGGCCACGAACCGAAGCTGAGATGGAGGGCCTTTCCCCAAACCGGGCGTCAGCCCTGGGGTTCAGTTGCCACCATTATAGCAAGGGGGCTAATACGACCACAAGGATTTTCCTGAGGAATGGGTGAAATTGGGTCAACCATTCTTTGAATGGGCGTTGAACCAGGGTCAGGTCTTTCCAACGCCCGCAACAAGTTTAACCTATCTGAAGCTTAAGGAGCTATGAATTTGATGTTCGAACATCTCCCCAGATCCACTAAAAACATGAGAGAACATCTTCAGGGAACCCTCCAATCATGTAGTGCCCTGAAGGATCATGGCCACCTCGAAGTCAGCATATGGATGTTTCTTGTAGGCACCCCAAAAAAAGGACCGGGTTCTCGCACATTTCCCTTTAAGCACCGCGTCAAATGGGGGGGGGGGGGGGCGCGTTTCAACAGCCAAAGGTGGGAAGGTTTCCAAAAATCCCTCAGGACCCCACTGTGTGGTTTTCCTTTGAAAGGCCCTTTGAAAGTGCCACTTTGGTAAGCCGGCAGTTGGTTTCATCCCGGTTTACAAAAAATTAGACGAGTATCTGTAAACCGAAGGCATCGATCCTGATTCTGCTGCAAGGTTACAATGATTACTCTCTTGCCCAAAGTGAATAGACATTTAGACATTTGGAACCCAACACAAAATAGACCACAACGGCAAAACGAAAGGTCCAAAGGTCGGTTTTGGACAAGCGAGAATACTTTTGCTGCATGCCACGTGCGCTTCCACGATATCGCCCGATCCACGCCTTTCCCCAGAGCGTTTGTTCCTCCACATAGACGTAGGACTGGCGAACAGAGCCGGGGCTTGTGAGCTCAACGCCTTTCTTCAGGGACTAAAAAAAATACACACGTCCGACCCTAATCATGACTTGATTTGGGTGTGGGTCAAAATTAAACCACCTGGGGACCGCAGGTTTTAATCCATATTTCCATTTGCCAGGGATCCACTTTGGGGTTTCCCTATTTTTGACTCGCCATTTGACATTAGAATCTACCCCACAACCCGTCATCCAATTCTGTGGGCCCCTATAGTGGTAGGAAGTGCAACATCTCATCACAAAAAAAAACAATCCAAGGCGAAACTTGGGCCTTGAAAGTAGACAGCACAGCCTACATTAGGATACATTCACCTGGCAGGGCCCAACATTCTAAGGGTTGAATCCTTGTCCATTCTTTTCAACCATTCGTTCTTTTCAAAAACCCGCCGTTTTGACTGGGACTCTGGAAGTGTTCTAGAAAGAAGGATCCCTGGAAAGAATGGGGAAGGTCTAGAAGCATAGCTTTTACCCCCCAACAACACCCCTATTGATTGATTCGGGACCTTAGTGAAGGTGGGCCAGGTCTGGAGGTGCTCGGGGACAACATGCACAAAAATGGGGGGTCGTCTACAAAATTGGGGGGGGGGGGACAATTGACTAGGTGCTCCACGTGCCTCAAATTACTTATCCCTTGTATCGTATATGGGTTGATGACCCAATTTCGAGGGGTAACTTGCATACAACTCGGAATGGCGAACCCCGGTTGGTATGGAAGGAGGCCCCAAAAGGGGACACTTCAGTCTTAGGCATGACTAGTTTGACGGTCACTCGGTGCCATGTCTCCAGGGGGAGGGCACTTAATTCTTACCCCCTTAAATCAAAGACCCCATCCTTCTGGTTTAAACATTCCTGGAAAGGGAAAACCCCAGGACCCAATACATGTGGTGATCCTGTGGATTCTTGGAATCCCATACCTGAGCGACGAGCCGGGTGACCGTTTAACTGGCCCAAGTTGTGTCTTTCCTTGAGGGTGCCGGTTTTGTTGAAGGGTTTTAAAGTGACACCAAACGAAAAGCCGGCTTTCGATAGCGCCTCCGTGTCTAAGACGTAGCCATTGAGGCTGATCTTCGCGGTCTTCCTGGTATCCATGCCAAAGGGCTGCTCTGGCGTACCTCACTGGGCATGGGATCGTTTTGTTTCGGGGATCTTGTCTCCCAAAATGGTACGTTGTCCTCTCTTGACTTCCCTTAAAAACCAGCAAACAAGGGGTACCCTCACAAAGGACACACTCATACGGACCCTCCAAAATGGTACCACTTTCCGATTGGTCTCTCTTTAAGCCAATCTTAAATCAGGGCTCCCTCAACATCGCACACACACACATACACCTAGGTCTTGTTAGTGTTGTTTCGTTTGGCAGTGGTTTTAGAGGGAAACCAAAGAGCCAAAGAGAAATCTCAGAAGTGTTTAAGGGTTGATTGCAAGGGAAACCATGGGAAGCAAAAGTACATTCAGGCAGTTGTAGAAAAAAACATGCCCAACATCTACTACAGTGTACATATATATATATATATGTATATACTGTGCATTTGTGTGTATGCTACATCATTGCTATTTCATCAACCAACTGCTTTCCGCTTTCCCTCAAGGCTTCGCGCGCCGAGTTGTCTTGCTTGTCGGAGCTTTGCTACTCTGCATGGCTTTGCAATGTCGAATGGTCAGACCCTGCTGAGTGGGGGCCCAAAAGTCCAAGAACTGTTTGTTCACGAACTGCATTTGGCTGTGGGTCAAAAATGGGTACCCAAAATGGGTTGCCCTGGTAAATGGAACCAAGGACTAAAACCTGCGGTCCAATTCCTGGTGGTTAAAATTTGACCCATCCCCATTTGGATCCGTAGCGACTGCCACAAAGTGACATCTGAGCGGGGCTCCGAAACCCATTCCACACCCATGATAAACCGCCATTTGCTTAAGCCCTGGAAAACATAAACATATTTCCAGTAGTGATCAATTCCCTTTAAAACCAACAGGGGAAAATAAAACATATTCTCCAGCAAATGGAAGTAAAGATTCAGGGTCTCACTCTCGACCTGCATCCCGAGAAGTGCCCAGTTCTCCAAAAGGAAACAGGTCAAGGGGACATCAGCTGGCGAGGATAAACCAGGGTACCCCATGGTTTTGAAAGTCCCGTGCCGGGCCGTTCAAAATAGAGACATCCTATCCGCAAAATATCGGGTCTCCCAACAAACCGGCGCCCCTTTAAACCCAAAAAAACCATGCAGCTGTTTCTGCAGGCATGGGGTTCATTTCCCTCACCACTTTGGGGTGATACTAAACTCCCTCAGCCCGGCGCCGATCTCCAGCAGGCCCCATACCAGAATACCATCTGCGCGCTTTGCTCGTGGCTTCGCCGGCCGAAAAGCCCAGGGCATTTTTTTGCGGGATCCCTGGCCATTGAAACCATGAGGGTTCATATGGATGTGGGTCAAACATAGGGAAGCCCCAACATGGAGCCCTGGGAAATGGAAACTGGTACGAAACCTGCGGTCCCCAGGGTTTTATCTTGACCCATACCCATATGGCCGCCATTGTTTGTCTGAGCTTCGTCTCATTCTTTGGATGAGGGTTGAACCCTGGGGTACGCTTACCAAAAAGCAAAAGACACATAAGCTGCAAATCTTGCTTGCAGGTGTAGAACAGCTGCGGCTAGCATCGACTTGGCAAACTGTAGACTTGCTCCTGCCGACTTGGCAAACCCACCAATGGGCAAACAGGTTCTCAAGCGCCGATTTTGTAGAGGCCAAACCGAGAAGCATTTCTTTGGGCCTTCTTTGCCTCATTGGACGAGCTTCCATTCACAGGCTGACTGAAGACAGGTGCAAATGTCCTAGGTGCTGCAAACATGGCGTATGTGTGTATGAGTGCGTGTCAGAAAAACCCGAAATACCCCTTACAGGGTCTGCGCTTGATGTTCACCTGATTCTATCTTTCAATCAATGCCAGAGCGCAATACATCTAACATGTCTAGATAAATTGCAAGCTAAAGGTCTGGAATTTGGTTCGAAAGGTCTGTGAAGCGCTTCTGTTGGGATTTTTTTCTCCCTGGATTTTGGTTCGACCGAGTGTGAAGCGCTTCTGTTGGGATTTGCTTCTCCAAACCAAGAGCAACTCACAGAATCGGGTCAGTTGAAAAGCCAAAAGGTGAGAGCGTCGAATAAAAAAAAAAAAAGGAGAGCAATTTCCATTTTTGCTGATTCACCACAGCGTCGTTTCGGAGGAACTGCCCTTTGGGCGCACCTTTTTCTGCAAACCACCATTCCGAAACTGAAAGCAAGGAAATCCCGACCTTTATCATCGTGAGCTTGTTTTATCCCCAGGTGAGCTCCTTCTGATTCGTCCAGAGTTGTGAATGTTTTTTGAGGCCCCCCTGTTGAAGGCCGGTTTTAAGGGACACCGAGAGCTCGCCCTACAAGCACGTCTCCCATCTTTGCAGTTCCGATCCCATGGCTCCATGATCCCGTGGCCTGCCCGCAGATGCCTGTCTTCGCCTCACGAGTTCTCAAAGGCAAAAGCGGAAGTTCAACGTCTAACACGAAGCCTGGGAGCTATACCAAGTTGATTCCATGACTTTAATGGGCAACCTGTATACCAAGCCTTACACTAAGCTTGGGATTTAGAAAACCATGTTTCATCGGCAACGCACTAAATCCAGGATTTTGGCCATCATTTTTCATGGGCAAAGTGTACCAACACCTAGGATTTTTGACCATCATTCTACTAGGCAAAGATTAATACCAAACCTTGACGCAGGGATCCCATCTGAACCTCTGCGTGGATTGGTCAGAAACAACAATTCCCTGTTTGCATGCCATGCTCTTGCCAGGCATAAGGTCCAGGAACTCGCCTGAAGAATTTCACTGGGGGTTGGCAAGCCCAAACACTTGTCGGGCCTGTTGGGCTTGTTGGGCTCCTTGACCGCATCCCAAAAAATGTTCCCGATTCAACTGGACGCATCGTGTTTCTTGTTTTGCGGACCATATGGGCTTAGCCCTCAAAATCGGGGGGGAGCTCCCACACAAATTGAAATGGGCGGTTTCCCTTTGTGTTTCCCGTTACCCAACACGGATACCCTCCAAAAAGAAGCACGCCCAAAATAACTGTGGTTTGTTCCTTGGACCCTCCAATTGTTCGGACTCTCCAACAAAAATTCCGTGGGTCCGACGGTCCGCCCGAAAATTCCATGGGTCTAAGAAGGAAACCTCTTGGTTTTGATTCTATTTTGCACTCGCTTTCAGAGTCGAGTGAAAGCAAATGACATCAATTCCAAATTTGGGCCTAAACATGCCTTTTACCCACATTCATAAAGATAATTGTGCCACCTACTTTCAACATGGTGTACCTGGCGAATGTTCATTGAAGGTTTCCCCTCTTTTTGTTTTGGCGCAATCATTCGCCTGCTGACGCAAACGAGGAAGCTAAGGCAAGCGCAATTGAGGGTTATCCGAAAAGGGGACAACTTTTTGTTTGCACGAAATTGCGACCATCATGGGAAAAGTACAGGCGGCCCGAAGTTGGGACTCTTTCTTTTTTGACCAACCTCAACCAGGCCCCCAAAGGCTTTCCTACCAAAGACTATTGACAGCCGTTGAGTGGTCCTTGAATATATTTTCCGCGGTGAACTGTGCCGCCCCACTGTCATCAAAGGACAGCTTTCCATAGATCGTCAGGTTCTTCACCGCTACATAGTCCTGCGAGGTCGCAAAGCGAGGCGAGAGTCAGTGTCCTTCTGCGAACTCATTCCTGTGGCTTTTCTTCTTTCAACGGAAATTCCTTCGGGACACCTTTTGCACCAACAGGTGGAACACCAAAAGGCCGTTTTACCACTTCTGCTGTACAGGTGTTTTGGACCGCGGATGCAACAGGTCGAGAGTGGGAATCCCCCAACCTAAAGACAAAACCCAAATATCACGTGGTACTGTCGGAAGATTTGGGTAAACTATATGGTAATTCACACAGCGGAAAAAATAATATTCAAGGAAGGAAGAGCTCGCTTCTCGTTGTAATTTCTCCAGCGACATGCCTATGACAACGTGAAAATATGTTTGCTGTGCACCAACCTCAAAAACAGGAGTGTCCAACAAACCAAATCCCACATTTAAAGGATACCCTGTTTGGGGGTTTCACGGAGACATTTAGAGGGAACCCACCCATTTTGGGAGGCAATGTTCTTCTCACGCGATCCAGAAAGCAACTAGCAACCACCCATTTTGGGAGGCCCTGGTTTTCTCTTGTGGCAGCTATGGGTTGGCTCACAGAAAAAGAAGAAAAAAAAGAGGGACCCCACCCATTTTGGGGCCAGGTCCTCCAGTAGAGAGGTTAGAATAAGGGTACCCTTTTTTCTGTGAACCCTCCCAACCAAAAAAGGAACGGTAAAAGGGCACCTAGCCGGGGGACCTAGTCTTCTAGGCCAACAAAAATACATTCATTGCTCTTCAGGGACCTCTTCTGGGCAAAAAAATAGAGGGAACCCTAGGTCCTCCAGTAGAGAGGTTAGAACAAGTTGAAGGGAAGCTTGCCTGTGGGAAGCTCACCTGGGGGACCATTTTGGGGGGTTCCCCTTTCAAACAATCTAGGGGTTGATTCCCCATTCTTTTCAACCATTGTTATTGTCAGAAACTAGCTATTGTTTCCTGGGTGTCCGGAGGTTTCTAGAAAGGTTCCACTTTGAAACAAGGCCATTTTCTCACGCGAGCAACCGCCGCAAGGGCTGCAGGCGCTGGTCATCCAGGCGCTCCAGGAGTTCCAGGCACCAGCGAAGCTGCTGGGTCTCCGGCCTCCGTCCGATGCCCAACATCCGTCCAACCGCCCCTCAAGTTTCTTCGGCTCTTCTCGAGGCGTCTTCGCTCTTTTTCTCTCCCCCCAGCTTCTTTTTTTCGGGGGGGGGGGGGGGCTTTTTGCCATGTTCAAACTTCCCAGAATGCAATAAAGGCAGTGGTTGGGTGCTGGCTGCGATTTCCGTTTGGCTGTTGAACCGGGAAGGGCCCAAACCGACTGAATGGAAGGGCAAATCCCAAGGTAGAGGACCTTCATCATGGGGGAATTCGTGTTAGCTCCAGGTGAGCTCGCCATAATTTGCCCCGAGGTCCTTTTGCAGCCAGGGCTCTCTTCCAGGGTCCTCTGCGCAAGCTGCCGACCGCACAGCAGCAACAGATCGCACAGCTCGTCGGGTGCATCCTGAACTCGCGTGTCATAGAATCCAGCTGCAGGACGATTCTACCAAACACCCATCCAAACAGCAGTCATTGGGCGATGCCGGTTAAGATGTGCGTTTTGATGGACACCCACAAGAACCCAATACGCATTTGGCGACAGTTCGGTCCGGTCACAAGGCCCATGCCCCCCCCCCCACTTGACTCGTTGGAGCGCCTTGCATCTGAAAGTTTAATGGCTCGTGACCCATGGTTGACTCACTCACTGGCAACCCGTTGCAAATGCTTGTAGGTTGGCCGCTTAGCAACGTGGCTGCCAACTGGGGCAACTACAATTCTTGGGGTCAAAAGAACCCCCCAGGTTCCATTTCTCATTCCCGGGCTCCCGAACCAACAAGTGGTTCCCTTCCTTGGTTGCTGTAACGACCCTGCAAAAAGTGAATCACTTTTTGGGGGGTGGAGTGGAAAACACCTTTCTTCCCCCCCCCCAAAACAACACACAAAAAAGTCGAAAGATCCAACCCAACAGCAGCCAAGCCTTCCGCCCATTTCCTTGGCCCCCGGCGCTTCCGCCGTAGAGGCGCCAGGCGCTGAGGCGCCGGAAGACGCTCGTGGCCGCGCCCTCCGCGCTGAAGTCATCCGCCTGCGCGGCGCCAATCGACCCAACTTGGGGAGAGGGGACCTCTGGGCCAAACAAAAACATTCTTTGCTCTTAAGGGACCTCTCCTGGGCAAAAAAGTACATTCATTGCTCTTTCTGCGGGCATCTGGAGATGTGTTCTCTGTGTTTCTGCTTTCAATCAAAGCCATGGTGCCACACCTGAGCCTCTCGTCACGAAGAAGCTTTGCATTGTCTAAAATCCCCAAAAGGTTGATGACATTTGATGACCACCCTGGGTACATCACAGTGAAATCCTCCAACCATTTCCCTCCAAGTCGGTTCTTTTTCGGGCAGCCCCCAAAAGTGAGACCGGGCTTCGACCCCTCAACATGGACGAACCGACCCCCCTTAAAAAGAATGGCAAGGACCCAACGTGAAGATGATGAGAATCCTTAACGAGAATCGTGGTTCTCTCAACCCCCCAGTGTTTGAATTGAAGTTTGAACCCCAGGGTGTAACTTTCAGGGCCCCATCCCTACCAACCGACCCCACGCCTCCGCCATCAGCGACCCCACGAAGTGGTCCCGCGGCGCCGTCCTCCGCGCTCGTCTGGGGCCCGCCGCCAGCGCCATGTCATGGCGCAAAGCGGTGGCCACGTCTCCGTCGTAGGCGGCCCTGCCGGGCAGGATGCGATGGTGGGTAAACCACCTGGGTCGCCAGTTGCGATCGCTTTTTTCCATCCACTTTACCCCAAAAACCAGCAACAGTGACTGAAAAAAAGCAGCAACTTGGCCCTAACTTGACTATCTAGGCATGAGTGGGGGAACCATGAGCAGGGTTCTACTTTTTGACTACAGGGTAGACTTCAACCCAGGTTCATTCCCCCCAAGAAGAGAACCCCTGGGTTTAAGTCTATTTTGGGGTAGCCAAAAAGTGGAACCCTGACCATGAGTGTAAGCATGATTTTGCTGGGCTTCAACCCTTAAAAGAACGGCGACCCAATTTGGAGGAAAATCCTGAAAGGTGAAAATCATGGTGGTTCTATTTACCCCCATGATTTTAATGGTGGTTTGAACCCCAGGGATGATAAATGGCTCCTTACCATTGCAACCACTAGGTATATGGCTGCAAACCGTGGTCAGAACCACTGACCAGGGTTGTACAAGTAATGGGAACGCCCGGAGAAAGACACAGTAATGGGAACGCCCGGAGAAAGACACACACCCTGCTAGGGGGGTGTCACCCACAAGAACTTTCGCCAGGTTGGCGGCCTCGGTTACTCGCCGTGTGGGCGCCCTGCCCGTTGAAGTGTACTTCACGTGACCCACCGACTAGTTCCCCAACAGGACATGGGACAAAAACCAGGGAAATGTGGGTTGCCCCCATCTGTCCCGCAAACCGAAAATAGGCTATCAACAATAAGGGTGGCCTTTCCAGAGGATTTTCCTTCTTCCGGTACAAACAGTACCCCGCTTCCAGGGATTGCCATTTACTGGGCTTCCATTTGGTTAAGACCCCTGGAAAAAGCATATTCCCAGTAGTGATAAATTCCTTTTAAAAAACAACAAGGGAAAACAACAAATATTCTTTCAGCAAATGGAAGTGGGGAACCCAGCAAAGCTCACAGCATTTAGGTGGACTCCCAGTCAGCCACGCGCATGTGGCCTGCGGCGGAGCTCCCTTAGAGTGCCCTCATCGAGCTTCACCTGGGCCCGGGAGCCAAGGCAAAAATCAGCTGCTTTTTTGGGACACAAATCGGGCAACCGCCAAAAAAGGAACCCTGGTAAAGTGGTAACGCAAGGACGTCGAAACTCCTGTCCAATTCCTGGGGTTGAAAAACATGAGCCATGCCCAAATGGTGTTGTTGTGCTTTCTTCTTCTTTTTTCGCGCCGTTCGAGACAAGCATGGAACCTGAAAAGGAGGGGGCCGGTTCTTGTTAGGGGAAGCTTCTCTTCCAAGCTCGCAGGTTTTCCATGGCTGAGTGGCCTTTGTTGGGCCAGGGGCTTGTCTGACGCTTGGGTTAGCCGCAGAGGGAAGCCCCGAAATTGCTTGGCCAACGCTTGGCTTCTCCTTGAACCAACACCAAAACATGGTGACTCTCAAAAAACACATACCCCTATGGAACTAAACATGGTTACCAAAAAAAACACACGTGGAAGTGTGTGGGACGTTTGCGGAAACTAATTTTAGGTACTTACCTCAAAGGAATCGCACCGAAATCAACGGTTCTCCGGTGGCTTCCAAAGCACAAGGGAGTATCCTCAGCCAGCCTTCCTGGAATCTGCCTGGAACGGGAACCTGCCGCAAGGCCACCCCAAATCTCATTGGCTAAGACCCCAGGCCTGTCGCTTTTCGGGAAACAAGCACATAACTTGCTCCCGGACAAGTAGAGCTTTTCTCTATTTTGTGAAACACAAAACAACTCGCCTCCCCCTCCCCCGCCCTCGCCTGGACAGACAAATCGCGTGTCCGACTTCCCCGATCTTGAGCTGCCAAGGGGCCCAATTCACGGAAGCGCTGGCGCGCTTCACCCGCAGCGGCCGCACCAAGATCCGGGGCTTTCCCACGACCCAGGCGAAGGCCTTCTTCTTGGCAAACTCCCGGAGCTCCTCGTCCGCTTGTCAGGCCCCCCAGGATGGGATGGGAGATTCCTGTTGGTGCCCTCGAACCAACCGAGAAAGGGTACCCTCACAAACAAACGCAACGCAAATGTATCTTAAACATCGGTGTGATGTTTAATTATTCATATTCAGAATGATCATAGTCACATTATGGTTTGATGACGTTGATACCAACCCCAATCCATAACCCCTAAACATGTGGCGTCATAGCTGTTTTTTGTCTCCCGGATTTTGTTGGTTTCTGAGTTGTTCATGTTAATATCAAGCTGTGTTTGCAATGTTGGATCTACTGATGTGTTTTTGGGATGTATTGGTTTACTGAGTTTTTTTTGAATGTTTTTTGAATGGTCACCCAGGACGCAGTTGCTGGTTTTTTGGGTGCTTTGTTTTGTGGTGTTTTTTTATTTCTTGAGTTTGTTGTTGTTTTCCCCAAATAGCCAGAAAGCTATACGGGTTCTAGCTTCTAACAAAGAGGGGCACGGGGGCTTGCAGTTTGGCGTGCTGGCCCAGGTGCTGTTTGGGGGCGCTGTTTGTGGGTGCTGCTTGAGGTGCTGGTGACGGTGCGGGCGTGTTTTTGCGTGATCGACGGCAGGGTGCTAGGAGGCATGCAGTTTGGGGTGCTCTTCGGGGGGGTCTGTTGGAGGTGCTGCGGTGCAATCATCGGCCTGTTCTTGCCATCTGGGGTCTATGCTGGTGTTTTTTTGTTTTAAATGTTTACATGAGTTGTTTAAGGAATGTCGAACCCGGCCATTGGGCCATTGTTGCTGGCGTTTTGGGTTGTATGGGTGTGTTTTCCAATATGCTCTCCTCTTTTTGAAACTTGGATTTACTGAGTGTTGCGTGGACAGTCAACACACAACAGGATTGCCTCCCGACTAGCCTTGATCTGGGCTGAAGCTTGCGCCTTCTTTGGGGTTGCCATTGTTCTATTTGTTTACCGATTCAATCTTTGCATGTTTCAAGGATGCGGAGAAACTCAGCGCTCAGGAGGCCCCAGAAAAAAAGGAAAGGTGATATGGTTGAAACCAGTTTGAAACCGCCCTTAAAACCGGGAAACGGGTCATTGGCCCCAAAAGATGTTCATTTGTCAAAATTGGCCCCAAAAGATGTTCATTGTCAAACGAGTCAAACAAAAAGGGATCCTCATGTCCTCGAACTCCGGAAAAAAAAAGAAGAACAAAAAAAGAACAACAAAAAAACTCCGCTGGCTTCGACTTCGCCTTCGAGGCGAATTCCGGTGCGAATTCCGGCGCCGTCCTCGCGGGGGACCCGATGCAAAGTCTCAGCCTCCGCGAGCTCCTCGAAGCTGCGGCTCTTGCTGTCCAGGATCCTCGTTCGCGATGCGTGCAGGGGATGGGGTGGAGGGGCAGTGGGAGGGGTCCCGGTCCATTTGCGGGGGGGGGAGGGGAAGGGGGCGGGGGGAGGGGAAGGGGGCGAGGGGAGGGGAAGGGGGTGGGGGCGTGAATTTACCATTTAACCACCATTCCGAGGATAATTTTAAAGGGTTGCACCGTGAAGGTTACCCAATCTAAAAAACAAAAACAAATTGTCCAACGCTCTGATTCCAGGGCCATGTGGTTCATGCCGTGGAAATGGGGAGACCTGAAACGGTCGGATTCCTTTGGCTCCTCGCCAACCACCAACTGGGGTCCCATTGGTTTGAAACTCCAGAATTGGTTCTGATACACAAGCTCGATATGGTGCAACACATCTTGTGGTGTTTGGAACCTTGGGCTGTGCCACCAAAATTGTGCAGAGAACAAGATTGCCGCCCAAAACCAAGTGTTTCACAGAGGTCAACCAGCCTTTTTCATGAGGTCACCTGGGACAAAAGTTGCCCTGGCCCCCGTCGGCCTCTCTAAACGGGTAAAACACACTTGGGATGTTTGCGTTTCTTCAGTGAAACTCGCGGCAAAGCCACGAACAGTGACCAGCCTCAAAAATAAACAACAAATAAACACATGGACGTGTCTTAAAATGGGGCACACCAACAAATGGTTGGTGCTCTTTTGCTTTCCAGGGTTTCTCTTTAACACAAAAAAGAAGGTACCCTTAAAAAAAGACGCACCAAGACACGAGACAGATCTAAGGCTTGCCCTCCCACGTCCAGCGAGCGGCCTTCGGCGAGATGTCTGAAAGCCAAGGCACTCCACAATGCCCCAAACCTGAGCCCCAAACTGCTCTCAGAGACATTTTTAGACCAAGGATTTTCAAACCCCTGCTTGATTTATAGGGGTTGGCCCGTTTAAGATTGGTTCCTCCGACTTTAGAAGGATAAAAGGAAGTACCGTAATCACCCTCTATAGAAAAATCAAGGGGATGGCAAATCCGGAATCAACATGCAAAGCAACAAGCGCCGGCAATTGAAAAAAGGCTGCTTGGCTGGCACGTTCCAGGCATTCGGCAGGAACCTAGCAGCAAAAAACCACCTCCCATATTTTTGCATATGGCAATGCCATAGAACAATGCAAAAGATCTACCTGCTGGGGTTGCGTCAACGTTGATTTCTTTTTTAATCTGGCATTGAGTCCTCTTTTCTGCAGGTTGGGCAAACTCAAGGCTTAAAGCACCCTTGGCACGGCAGCCTATGAGTCAAGAAGCTGGGCTTGGCCGAAACCAGAGCCGGCTGAACTTGAATGTGACGATTGGTGGTGGGGATATGGTCAAAGCGCCCCCCCCACCGGCTGGTCAGGCATGGTGCCCCTTTCAACCACGTCTTTACCCTTAAAATGCAAACCAACCCTTCAGCCACGAAGCAAAAACCCTAAGGGTTAGATGGAACAACTATATAACTACCCATCTTGTGACTCTGCAAATTGTGCAAACCTTGAACAGTTTGAGCATTGAAATGCAAAGGTAACCGAGTCAACACGAATCAGTTGACCCTCACTTAGACTCCAGCGGAAAAAAGGCCATGCTTCTTCTTGCTGTTGACTTTAAATGAAAACTCCCCCAAAAAAGGAACAACGGGTGCCAGTGGTCCCAACCAAAACGTGGGTCAAAATCCCGTACCCCCAAGTAAACATCCCAATCCCCACTAAAACAAAGCCTAAAATGGGTGGTGAATTCACCTACCCCAAAATGGGATCCCAAAACGGCTTTGACAACCACAGCCATTTGGTTTCTTGGATCCTCCCGACAATTCACCCGACAAGCGGTCGCTCCCTGAGGCGGCCACGGTAGAAGTGCCGCTCGCCAGAAGCGCCACGTCCCCCCGCTGGCGGCAGTGGGTGCTCCGCAGCCTGGGAGCACCCTGGGGTGGGGTTGGGTGGGGTTGGGTAGGGCGGGGTTGGGTGGGGTTGGAAGGGGCTGGGTGTGAGGAATGGTCGGGGTAGGTTTGGGGGGGGGGGGTTGGGGGTTGGGTGTGAGGTCACCAGGTACTTCCCGAAACCCACATGTCATAAAATGTGTATGGGTGTCTATTTGTTGAGGGCGCCCTTCTTAGGAGTTGGCTTACACGTAACCCAAAGGCCAACCAACCACTTCTCCCCTGATTTGGCATGAAGGTACTGTGGATGGAGAAAGAACATCTCGCACACGCTGGGATCTGTGGTTGATTCCAGTATTCATTGGATTGAATCCGTCCAAACTGGTGCAGGCTATGCGTTTCTCTTTAATTATGGAGAGTTCGGCAGTGTTTGGGTTGAGGTAGCTGCGTTTTCCCATTCTGCTCAGTCCGGATCTTTGCCCCAACCAAGGAATCTTAGTGGTTTTGTTATTTAAAAAAAAAAGTCGATGGATTTGGCTAAAACTGAGTCATGTATCCTTGGAACCGGGCTGGTCATTTGTGTGACTGAGAGAGTGCCAAGAGCAGCTGAAGGTGTACCCAGAAAACCAACATATGAACATATGGCTGTGAACTTTCATGGGTCCAAAAGGATCCTTTCCCAATGTGAACTTTAGTGGGTCCACAGGGAGTCTTTCATGGAGAATCAGGGATTCAATCCATGTCCACTTCGGAGGTGGTTCCCCGTGTTGCCTTGACCGTTTCCCAGCGAGTTGGGGCTGTTGGGAGGAGACACTAGGACTCAACCGAACAAACAGTAAACCGGTTTCCCTGTCAAACAAACCCAAAAAGGGGTTCCCCTAAAAGACTCACACCCCCGAATGCCTTGCAGATTAACATGGAACCCAAAGAACAACCCCCGTTTTAGTAGAAATCTATGGTTTGATCTTTGCTCCTTCCGTTCAGAGAGAATTGAATGGCACAACTCATTTTACATGTGGAGAAGTAGAGGCAAACATGGAACTAAAATGAGGGACTCGTGCTATCCATTTCACCCAACTGTACACTCATGTCACCCCGGCATTCTCCCAAAAAGGGAATAATGTCAAACTTGGCCAAAACAAAACAGTTTAGGGGGGGCCTTTACTAATATGAAGTCAACATTAAAAAGGGGAGTCAAAAGGGACATACCCTCCCAATTCACATGGAACCTGACAGGAAAGTCCTGACATTAAGACCATGTTCCTTTTAAAAGGGACCGGGTCCCGAACGTCAGGCTCCACGTCAATTGTTGGAGCGAGCGTTTCGGGCCCAAGGCGCTCCCAGGTCTTCTCCCCCGAGAGCAGCAGTGACAGCCAGCGAGGCTTCACAGTCAAAGCGCTGCTGTGCACCATGGGAATTCGCCTTTTCAGTTTGTCAGTTCAACAGGGTAAGCAAGGGGTGCCCAAGGAACCTTCTCCGGTTACCTGGTGTCTGCGGTATTCGTAGCTGGGTGAGACAAAGATCTTTGATGCGAAGGAGTCTTGTTTGGTATACAGTGGTAGCTTTCGTCCATAGTGGTCCTTCTGGATGTTTCATCTGAGGTTATATGGCAGCCACTATTCCCCTATTCAACCAGAACGTGGTATGTGGCTGATTTCCTGAATGTGGAGCACGTTACGCCGTTTCATCGTTGCTTTTACTTCACCCAAAATGTTCTTTTTCCAGGCTAAAAATGGTTCCCGAAAAAGTAGTCAATCCATCCCACGTGACTCGGCCACTGGATTTTGGATGCATCAACCATGTTCTCTTGATCGTGGTTCCATGTAGCGGAGCTCTTCTTCATCAGGCGCTGCTTGCGCTGCACCCGGCGATGATATGTTGTTTCTTTGAGGCTCCTTCCATGTTCAGAGCACCCTGGACACAAAGAGAGTGCGGAAGCAAACGTCGCTAAATATTGCAGCGTTTACCTTGCGTGACATGCATTTGTTGTTCTACAGTTCTACAGCCTATCCCATGAAGGTAGCTGGCAAACACGTGCATTTGCCTCTCCTTGGAGTGCTTTGCAGCTGGTATTCGAAAGTTCGCTCAACTGAGCCAAACCTGCAGGAGTTACACAAAACACCGGTGAGGAGTCTCCACGGAGAATCTCTGGGCTTGCATCTCAGGCATCCTGACAACCTCATCACCATGCCCCCTGAAACCATCGTGTACACAATCCACTCGCCTCACGGGGGGTATGTTTCTCACATGCCGGTACATCTGGCCCGCGCAACTGCGACTTTTTGGAGAGGCGAGTTGGAGCAACAAGCGCTTGCTTTTCGGGATTCGTTAGTTTCCTTTTGGGTCCTCGTTCACTATCAACAAAAAGAAGATCCACCATTTTGAGCAATCTTGACATTGGCGCCCAAGGAATCTTTGCCCAAGGGGCCAAGCAAAGCATCACCAAGCCGCAACTCTCTAGCGCTTACCCCAACGACCTTTTGTTTGGACATGAAAAAAGCAGTCATGGGCGGATGCTATGGGTGGGTTTGAACCTCGGATTCAAGCAAACCAAAAAAAAAAGAACCTCCCCAAACTCATCGATCCGGCCAACCGGAGCCCAGCAGTCCACGTCGAACATGATCCAGTCTTCCTTCTTAATCTCCACCGCCTCGCCCGTGGCGTCACCTTCGGATCCAAGACTTCGGCGTCTGACTTTGACACTTTGAACTGGAGTGGCTCTTGGAAATCTGCCTCCAAGCAACAGCAGGGTGAGTTAGAAGATGGCACAATTCACAACTTTCCGGTGGATGTGGGTGAAGGGGGTGAGACCAGGCAAGGTTTTGTCTGCATCTTCTTTGAACTGGCTTGCTGCAACCGCTCGTTTCATCCTTCGTGAGGGCCAGGCCAAACTTCTCGCTCCACCTGCCGAGCTCGAGCAAAAAAGAGGAGCCCATCCCGTCCCTTCCCGAGCAAGGGTGTGTTGGCTCAAAAAGCAAATCGTTGTTTTGTGGCCAGCAAAAACTGAATAAAGCCATACTATCCAGATTCGCGAACAGTCAACAGTGAAGAAGAGGTGGCTGCCTCCCTCTGTCAGCAGAGTCTTTGCGACTCAGTTTTGTGGCCCTCCCAGTAATTCAAAGACCACTCATGTTCTTTCCCACCAAAAAGGATCGTCGCGGCTTCCTGTGCGGGTTTGAGGGCACATGGATTGCAACTCTTAAGCCAAGCTCTCCATTCGCAAAAGGCGCCAGGCAAAGCGCCAGGCGGCGCCAGTCCAGTCCCGTCTTAACCCGTGCCGGCTGCGCAAGATGTAGTGGGACCAGTTTTGCTGCCGGTCCGGTAGGCCTCAGAGACCATGTGGCCGCTCAACAAGTGGTACCCCAATTGGCACCAGGGTGGATTGAACCAAAGACCAAAACCTGCAGTTTGCCCTAGCTCTTTCATTTTGAGCCATACCCATTTCCCTGGAGAGGGTAAGGACATGTGCCAAGATGAAAGCCAAGCGCACTGCCAAAGCCTGTCAAGGTAGATCAATCATGTCAGTGGCAACTCAGAAGCCCAATGGCCATGGGAAACAGGCAGGGCATGTTTTTTGTTGTTGTGTTTTTGTTGTTGTTGCTTGGCGTGAAAAGGGACAACCCCTTGGACAAAAAAGACAAAACAACAAAAACAAGCAAAGGGTGAATGCACCCCACAAAGGGTGCCTGCGCCAACATGTAAGGTCCGGGCCCTGAAGACAGCCTTCATCTGGGCACTTGCGCGCCTGCCGGGCCGTCCATCCGCCGAACATCACGGCTGCACCGTGAAGTAGATAGCAGAATTCGCGGTGAGGATAAGTAAAGGGGACGGCTATACCAACATGGAGGTACCTTGAAGACCAAGTTCCTCTTGAAGGGACCCACTGTTAGGTGCCATGTTAGGAAGGGTACACAAATTGCAAGCTTCCCCTCCATTTGCAAACAGTACCCTCCCCCAGACTAACATGGAAGCTCCCGAACGGACCCCTTGGAAGACTTGGCTCCATTTGCGGGATCGGCCTTCTGGGAGCTTCCTGAGGGAACCCATCTATTTCAAACCAAACTAACCTGAAAAAGTGTGGAACCAGAAATAGATCCCCCCTTAAAAACAGGGGACAATGTGCAAACCAACAAATGGAATCAAAAAAAACGATCCAGGAAACAACAGACCAGGAAAATGCCTTCCCCCAGACTAGCGTGGAAGCTCCCGAACGGACCCCTTGGAAGACTTGGACAATGGATTTTGGAAAAACAGACCGATGATCCAAAAGCAAATGAGTCACAATCAAAACCCGGTACTAAAATGGTCTACCCAGAACCATATCAGGAATTAAGAAGGCGGATATCCGCAGCTATTTCTGGTTGGGCGTGTCCCTGACCAACCTTCATCTACCCAGGCTTTGATTGTGGCTCAAATGGACCATGGCCCCCCTTAAACCCCCATCCCCCCCCTTCAAACCCCTCCGCAAAACCCAGGAAACCCACCGACAGACCCCCCGAGCCTCGAAGTGGGCGCTGAGAGGCTGCTGCTCCCAGGAGAGCCCCGCCTGAAGGCGGGAGAAGGCTTGAAGCCGAGAGGCGAATCCGCGAGCACATCCACCGGTGTTTGTTTTGTTGTTTTGCTTTGAACGGGACACCAAGAGAGGTTTGTCAGTTTGGGTTTTTTGTTGGTTGCCTTGGTCCTTGTTCCTTCATGTTGTTTTGCTTGTTGGTGTTGCATGGTGTTGTTGGTTTACAAGATTGAAGCGATTCAATGGATTGAACATCCACACCATTTTGTTGGTTTCTTGTTTGAATTGGCTGCGGGTCAACAATAGGGTAACCCCAAAATGGAACCCTGCTAAATGGAAACAAGGACTCAAACCTGCGGTCCCCTGATGGTTTAATTTTGACCCATACCCAATTGACAAGGCTCTGCATTCAACAACAAGAAGCCGCACCAACAACGCACGCGCCTTCTGCAGGTCTATAGCTTCAGACCAGGACCACGGGACCCAACTTGGTTGATGTTCAACGCTAAGCCTAGGATTTTAAAGGGGTGCCAAAATAGGGGGGACTTGTAACATGGTGGATTTCCTCTTGGTTTCCTTGTGCATCAACCTGACAAGGGTGGCCACCATTATTTTGGTCAAGGGCAGACGCGCAACATGGTACCAAGCATTACAGAAACTCAGGCGGGTCCAAATTCCTTGGGGACCTTTCCAGGTTACACTCCTCCCCGAAAGGACCAACTTTCAGCGGAAGGGCTCCTTTTCCGCTTTTCATTTGCAGGGAAGTACGGGTTGCGGTGTATTTTTCTTTGTTTGCACCGCTTGTTGGTTAAAGGGCAATCGAGCCTTTTGGTTTTGCTCTAAACCTAAACAGGATACCAACTCCACCCAAATTCCCCGCAACAAATCAAGGGGGCAATTTTCCCATGGAACGTTCACACGGCTGTGGGTCAAAACTAACCACCAAACCAAACACAGGTTTTAGTCCTTGTTTCCATTGAACCGGATTCCAGTTGGGGTACCCATTTTTGACCCACAGCCACAAGGACAAAATAAAATCCATTGACAAAAGGATCCTCAGGTCCCAACTGGGACGGGGAAGCGGAAGTTCATGGCCCACTCCTTCTTCTCCTGACCGCGGAGAGAGCTCTGGGATTCATGTCTACAGCCAGTTGGGTATTCCTTTTTGTTGAGGCTCGGTGCCCTTTTGGGGTTGGTTTAAAGGGAGGCCAAGAGGAAACCATCCTTATTTTTTGTGTGTTCTTTTCTTCTTCCTTTTTGTTTGGGGGGGGGTTCTATTTTGACACAAACACGATTTCAAAAGGGACCAGAGACTATGAACTCCTTTTGGATGGTGTTAATGGCAACATAAGAAACCCATGGCCAAGAAAAAACACGAGATGGAACCGCCTTTGAAAGTGGTGGGCGGACCTTTCCATTCCCACCAAGATGTCCACCAAAGGGATTCTAGTCAAACTTCATGCCCAAATAAAAGTGACCTCCTTTGGGCTTCTGGCCAATTTGGCACACTTTAGGGACCTGGTATCCCTCAAATCACTTGCTTGCTACGCTGGTGTTGACGCTTTACAGCATCCAGCGGTGTTACAGTGGCAATGATAGATTTTGCCAGTTTCGGGGAACGGGGATGGGAACGGGAACGGGACTGGGAACGGGGATGGCAGTGGGAACGGGAACGTTTGCCTTCAAAGTGCAGGTTCCTTTTGCCGTGCTGCCTCACGCCTCTCAAAAAAAATTATAAAAAAATGCTGGCCCTTGTGGGGCACAGTCACAATATTCTGGTTTTGATGGGAAATCTAGTGTTCCGCCTGTCCCAAATAGGCTGGTCTGCAAATAGCGGGTGGTTCCCTTTCGACTTCCTTCAAAATAGCCTCCGAAGACGACACCCAAACTGGCCAGAAACTA